TAAAGCTTTACCTGATTGAATTATGCTTTTATACTTCATGTTTAGCTGCTTTCTTCTTTTCTTTTGCCCGTGGGATACTTACCGCTCTGCCAGTTTTCACCTCTGATATTATAACAGTACATTGAGAACTCAAGAGTTTCCCATCTCAGGGTAAGTCAACTCAGAGTTAAAGTTTTAACTCAGAGTTAGTTGAACCTCCTTGCTGAAACGGGCCCCTGGAGACTTAACGTTGTGTTTCATGACAAGCATCATGTTTTTGTCAGATGTTCCTCCCGAAAGTCGTTAGGAGAAATAAAAACAGACCCAAATGGGTCACTAGTTCATCCAATCTAGAGCTTTAAAATGATCGTGGAGCATCTCAAATGTTTGAGTTTATATTGAGATCTCAGGATTTTGATTGCAGACCTAAAGTCTAACTAGTGTGATTTGGTTGAGCAGTACTTCTCATCCAGTATCAGGGACTAATAAAACAGCCTATTAAAGAAAGTTTATAGTCTGAACAAGTTATTAGCGTCTGTGTATTTTCAGTGTTTCACCATCATCTGTGCAGTTTGATAAATAGCTGGTGTTTCACCTTAATCAACAGATTGCATGTTTTTTTAAAATCTATTTTATTGACCTATAATCTGATTTAAAGCTGCTTTTTTGCTGTTTCATGAATCGTTTGGTGTCATAACGGTCCGAGTGTTTAGGTTTCACACAAAATCCATTAAAAGCCAATGATGTTCCTCCCGAAAGTCGTTAGGAGAAATAAAAACAGACCCAAATGGGTCACTAGTTCATCCAATCTAGAGCTTTAAAATGATCGTTGAGCATCTCAAATGTTTGAGTTTATATTGAGATCTCAGGATTTTGATTGCAGACCTAAAGTCTAATTAGTGTGATTTGGTTGAGCAGTACTTCTCATCCAGTATCAGGGACTAATAAAACAGCCTATTAAAGAAAGTTTATAGTCTGAACAAGTTATTAGCGTCTGTGTATTTTCAGTGTTTCACCATCATCTGTGCAGTTTGATAAATAGCTGGTGTTTCACCTTAATCAACAGATTGCATGTTTTTTTAAAATCTATTTTATTGACCTATAATCTGATTTAAAGCTGCTTTTTTGCTGTTTCATGAATCGTTTGGTGTCATAACGGTCCGAGTGTTTAGGTTTCACACAAAATCCATTAAAAGCCAATAATATATTTTAATAGAGATGTGTAAGAAATTTTTTTTCTCTCAAATTAGTCAATAAACAGCAAGTTCCGGGTCAGCGTGTGCTAAATGAACTGCACGTTTATTTCGTGGGAATAACAGTGGAAATGTTCATTAGTTTTTGGTGGTTGGCGTCTTTTTAGAAATTATTACTGAGAAATCTTTACTGGAATAAAAAGCGTGACAACTTGCCCCTCTCACTCCTGCTTGCTCTCAAAATAAACCCTAGTCTTCTAGTTTAGTCTTACAGCAAGACTGCTCATTCATATCTCATTTAAGATGAAGCAATGCAGATAGTGTCGTGTTTAATAGAGGTTCAGAAGAAGAAGTGGCTTATGGGACTGTAGAAATATCATCCTCTGCTCTCACGTACTTTAACAAACTCAAATGGCCTGTTTATTGATTCCATTTGAGAAATTAATTAGAAACTAGATGGATATCTCAGTGAGGCAACAAATGAATCGATAAACTTTTAAATATAGCACTTTGTTTTATATACACATATATTCATGAAGATGGCTAAAAAACACAATTTTCTTCTAAAGGAACTATTCTGCTCACTCCTAGTTAAATAGTATTTATGAGACAAAATGAGCATAACAATAAATAAATTCATCCTGTGTTTTCTTTTTTTTTTCACATACCAGTTGTACAAACAATAAATTATAAAATCAGTGCTGTGCATTTTCAGTGAAACGGCCGTTTCCCATTGAGACGGTAAAACAGTACTGCATACATGGAGTAAACCGATGAAATCTAAAAGGAACTATTCTGCTCACTCATATTCCTAGTTAAATAGTATTTATGAGACAAAATGAGCATAACAATAAATAAATTCATCCTGTGTTTTCTTTTTTTTTTCACATACCAGTTGTACAAACAATAAATTATAAAATCAGTGCTGTGCATTTTCAGTGAAACGGCCGTTTCCCATTGAGACGGTAAAACAGTACTGCATACATGGAGTAAACCGATGAAATCTTGGAAAACGTTCAGGTACCAAACACTGAATCACATGAGTTCATTCAGTTACTGCATCTGTGTGAAATGAATCAAACAACTGCAGCAGGTTTAAAGTCAACATGAAACGCATTCGCAACCCATTGCACTTCAGTAATGTGATGCACTTCTAATTGAAACTGGATATATGATGAGAAACAAAATAGTGCAAGACTTTTGCATTTCATTTCATTCATTTTAAAATGAATTTTATTTAGGAATTGATGAGATGGTGTCGAAGTCAAATGATATCAAATTACTATGAAAGATTAATTTATATAATAAGAGCAGGTACATGAATGAAAGTAAATGGAGTTGAATCATGTTGACTTTAAACTGATTTCCGCTGCTCACACACACATGAATCAACGATCTGAACACACATCACATATCTGAGATGTTTCACTGTCTGAGAAATGAAGTTGTGAGGTTGAACTGAGGTGAAAAATGATTCAAAGGAATGTTCCGGTTTTAAGATTGTGTTTACAGTAACTTACAATGGAAGTCTATGGGGCAAGACATTGTATCAGAATGTTAGAAAACACATTTGCTTGGAACAACACAACAAAAAAACATTAAATGTGTCATCTTGTCTGTGCAACATTATAAGAACATGTAAAAGTCACTTACATCAGTAACACATAGTAACACATTTTTTTTTCTAGGTTGTGTGAATGTTAAGGGAACGTTCCGTTTTAGAATTTTGGAAACATTATGGAAATGTTACTTTTGAATGTTCTCTGAACGTTCTGAAACAAGTCGTAACATTTAAAAAATGTCAGATGAACGTCCAACTGAAACTTTTTTTTTTTTTTTAAATTCCATGAATGATGTATAAATAATGTTTTTGTCCTAACATTTTGAGAACGTTATTAAAGACCAGATAACTTTAAATGAGTTACTTTAATTGTTCTGAATTGTTCAAAACTTTAAAAGAACGTCGCCAGAACATTCTAAAAATGTTTCTTGTTAGCTGGGCTAACAGTTCAAATAACACACATTTCTGTACATAGCAATTAGAATACAGGCTTTAATAAACATACGTTTCACATTTCTGCTTTAACCCTGTGTGATTCTTGTCTCATAGACGTCCATTGTAAGTGTTCCACTCTAAACAAGGTTTTTGTTTGTTTTAAACCTGAAACATTCCCATGAAGATGTAAACGGCGCGACTGCGAGCGAGTGAGCGATCGGCTAGCGTTATTGCGAGTATCGAGGGCACTCAGTGTCGTTTGAGCCCTGAACACAGAAAATGACATACACACATTTACAAATCAGAGCCCTGTTTAGTTGAACAAAGAAAGGAAGATCAGTTCATTGTGGGAGTTTCAGACTCAAACGGACATAAACATGGAGCACAGAGGAACAAACACATCAACGTCAGCTCAAACCCTGAAAACGAGCTCAGGAACAGACCGGCGGTCAGTCATATTCCCAGTTTGTCTTAGTCTTATGAGATTCACTCTGGAAAATCAGCATTCTGCATGGACCTTTCCGTTCCTGCAGTCGAAGCTTATTTCTTATGGATGATATTTGGACCCTAAACAGGTTGTTCACGCTAACAGCGATCAGTAAATCTGTTGACAATTGTTGACAACTTGGTCCAGCTTTATACAAATAAGATGTGACTAAATGCGATGACGACCAATGGGAGCGCAGACTGATATAGTTAAATAATGCAATCAAGTAGGGTGGCACGGTAATCTGATAATCCTGATTATTTTGCTCCAAAATCACAAAGGTTCTAGGTTTGAGAAATTCCTTTTTAGATTTCAGAATCAGAATTATTGCAATTTTACGCAAGCACAAATCAAAAGGAAATTACATTATGCTATATATCGCGCAGCCCTACAGTCGAAGTTGCGGTCACATTAGCAAAATTGCAGTGAAATTTCGTGAACCAAACCGGTCCAATGTCTGCTGCCTATAAAATAGAGATGTATGAAGTGCCACTCACACAGAAGTCACTTTGAAACCGAGCGGTTTTCTGTTGGTCAATGGAAAAAAGTGTAACCTACGTGGGTAAGCTTTTTCACGCAATCGTTGGAATCAAATTGGAATGACTTGATTCCACAGAGCAACTGTAAATGTGATTGCAACTTAACATTAAACTCTATGGCAGTGGTTTAAATCACTGCCAGTGTGAACTTAAGGGGTGTGGCTTTTGGATCAGTGGGTGTGGCTTTGTTAAAGGGGCGTGGCTGAAAGTTGCCACATTCAAGGCTAGAGCCAAAGCTCCTTGTCTGAGTCACAACACGATTGCGAACACTAGCAGGATTCAGGAAGTTAGTCTGAATGAGGGATTCCCAACACTCTCTGTTTTTTTGCATATGATATTGATACAGAATGTTAGGCTAATGTTCCCATTAAGTTATGAAAACACTGTTTCTGAATGTTTTTAAAATGTTTGAAAAGGTTATGTGAATGTTAATAGAACATTCCATTTTATCAATGGTTAATGTGAACGCATCTTAACATCAAACACTACAGAAATGCTTTAAATCACTGCCAGTGTGAACTCAAGGGGCGTGTCATCTGAATGAAGGGGCGTGGCATTGTCAAAGGGGCGTGGCTGAACATCATCACATTCAAGGCTAGAGCCAAAGCTCCTTGTCCGAGTCACAACGCAACACGATTGTGAACGCTAGCAGAATCCCACAGTGATCGGAACGCAACTGCAACGGTTCAGTCTATGTGCATTTTTTGTTTTTTGGACATGATAAATTATATATAACTTTATGCTAATGTTACCAATAAGTTATGAAAACATTATTTCTGAATGTTTTTAAATGTCCAGTTTTCTAAATGTTTTCAAAAAGTTTAAAACTCAAGGGGCATGTTGTTTGGATTGAGGGCGTGGCTTTGTCAAATAGGCGTGGCTGAACATTGACTCATTCGAAGCCAGAGCCTCGAACACTAAAGAAATGCTTTAAATCACTGCCAGTCTGAACTCAGGGGGCGTGTCTTTTGAATGAAGGGGCGTGGCCTTGTCAAATGGGCGTGGCTGAACATTGACTCATTCGAAGCCAGAGCCTCAAACACTACAGAAATGCTTTAAATCACTGTCAGTGTGAACTCAAGGGGCGTGTCATTCGAATGAAGGGGCGTGACCTTGTCAAAGGGGCGTGGCTGAACGTCACCACATTCAAGGCTACAGCTAAAGCTCCAGAGTCACAACGCAACACAATTGTGAACGCTAGCAGAATCCCACAGTGATCGGAACGCAACTGCAACGGTTCAGTCTACGTGCTTCACGAAGCTCAGTCAGGAAGTTCGTCTGATTGAGGGGTCCTCAACATTTTTTAATCAGGCAGTGTTTGAAGGCCGACGGCCGGGCGCTGAGCGGGCAGCTCTTGGACAGCTTCCCTTGAGGGTCCTTGCATTGCACCGTGCGACTCTGCCAACCCGTATCGCAAGTTCTGGAGCACGTCATCCATGATCCCGTCACCCAGCGCGGCCCCGCGGGCATCGTCGTCGTCGCAGGAACCTCGGTCGTAAACGTCACAATCTCCGCCGAGGACAGTGCCGCGGCGGTTCCCGAAGACGTGGCGACCGTTCGCGGCGGAAGTGGCATTTTGCGCGGCATGAAGAAGCTGTAGCGGATGTCTAGTGGTTTCTTAGAATCCGTGGCCAGAATCTGCACCACCAGGCTTTCCTGAAGGGCCCCGGGGCCCATGCTGTGAAGGGCCTCGTCCCGCTGACTCCAGCCGGTGTAGTTGAGAACGGAGCCGTTGAGGGGGATGATGGTCTCGGATGTGGAGATCATGAACTTCCCGTTGAGCAGGTATTCTCCTCCGGGCCGCCGCAGCGCCAGATACGCTGTGTAGCGCGACTGGCCTTTGGCTTTGTACTGTCGGACCTTCAGGTGCGTCGAGCCCTCGGGAACCTTCACCACATCTGTGTAGCCCTTGCTGGAGAACACAGAGACAACATCACATGACTTTATTAGTCATTTTGTCTTATTTTGTAAAAGTCTTTTCCAGTAAAAAATATCAATTTAAAAAAAAAATCAAGATACATTTACTTGATAAGCAAAATGACTTAAGATAGTAAGTCTTGTTTTACTGAATAAAAATGGAGTGAATTTATGCTTAAAACAAGGAAAAATATGGAATGGCCAATGGAATCAGAAAAAATATTTTTCTTAGCCTTTTGGCAAATATTTTAAGTATAAACTCACTTAATTTTTTTATTTTTTTATTTTTTGGAAAATTCATATTTTGTATTTCTTGTTGCTTCCAAACCAAATATCCAGACATATGTTAAATCAAGATACATTTACTTGAGAAGCAAAATTATATTAAGTTTTTTTTTCTATTAAACATGAAGTGCTCAAAACAAGAAAAGAAAAAGAAAAAAAAATTCTGTCCATGGGTTAAGAAAAATATACATAATTCAAATGGAATGAAATGTAATTTTTCTGACACTGCTGGCAAATATTTTTTTCTTGTTTAAAGGATCAGCTCACTTAATTTATATATATCTATATATATTAGAAATCAAGACTTAATATTTCTGTCTTTTTTTGTTTTTGTCTTATTTTTCACTGCAAATAGCTAAACATTCTTAATTCACGATACATTTAATCGACAAGTAAAATGACTTAAGATATTATGTCCTGTTTTCTGAAAATATTATCCAAATTTTGTTAGTTTTTGCTTAAAATAAGTAAAAATATCTGCCGATGGTGTAAGAAAAATAATCTTGTTTAGCCTTTGAATTGAGGCATCGGCAGATTTTTTGCTTGTTTTAAGCAAAAACTAACAAAATTTGAGTATTATTTTCAGATATAAGTAAGTAAATGCACCTTAATTCCAGAATTTTTTAGATATTTATACTAGAAAACACAACATAAATACTAAGGAAGAAAATATTTTTTGCAGTGTGTCTGAGAGAGCGTGTGTGTTTATGGACAATTTCACCATAAATGAGGGAGATATTTGTTCCCAGAAGTGATATAAACCTGACAAAACCTCCTTTTGATGACGTCCCCGTTTTTTATGGTTTGGTTAAAATCAATAGAAGTGGAATGTCTCCATCAGTGTGTGTTGTCTAACCTCTTCTTGGTGAAGTTTCCAGCCACTCTGATGCAGCTGTTTCCGTCGCCGCCGCAGACGCCGCACTTGTCGGATTGAAGTTTCGAGCCGATGATCCCGTCGCAGCCAGTGCGAACGCACTTCCCCTTCACACACACCGAACTGCTGTACGGCCGGCACTCCGTCCCATCAACCACCTGCAGAAAACCACACAAACCAAACCTCACCTGCTGTCTGGCCTTCATCTATCGCTACTAAAGAAATGGCACAAATAATCAAGGTTTAATAAATATATCACTAACAAAAAGCACTAAAATTCCATGTCTTTCGGACATGATATTGATAGAATGCTTTACTAACGTTCCCATTAAGTTCACTGCAAAAAATATTTTCTTACTTAGTATTTATGTTTTGTTTTCTAGTATAAATATCTAACAATTCTTGAATCAGGATGCATTTACTTGACAAGTAAAACGACTTGTTTTCTGAAAATATTATCCATTTTTGTTAGTTTTTGCTTAAAACAAGCAAAAGATCTGCCAGTGCCTTAATTCAAAGGCTAAACAAGATTATTTTTCTTACCCCATCGGCAGATATTTTTACTTGTTTTAAGCAAAAACGAACAAAATTTGGATAATTTTTCCAGAAAACAAGACATAATATCTTAAGTCATTTTAATTGTCAAGTAAATGCATCTTAAATCCAGAATTAGTAGATATTTATACAAGAAAACAAGACAAAAATACTAAGGAAGAAAATCATTTCTGAACGTTCTCTGAACATCTGCTATATGTAAAAATGGTTATATGAGCATTTAAGGAATTTTATCCTTCTGCAAACATCAAGGGATGTTCTTTTGAATGTTTTATTTTTAGAAAAAAAATTTTTAAATTAGACAAACATCCAACTAAACAAAATCTAACATTAGGAACAATGTATAAATAATGTTTCTGTGCTGTGACTAGATGACTCTGAACGAAATTTGTATTAATGTTACTGGACGAACGTTTGTTCGTAACACCATAAAATACGTTATAAGAATGTTTTGCTAATGTTCCCATTAAGCTGCGAAAATGTTATTTATGAATGTTCTCTGAATGTTCAAAACGTCCAGTTTTGTAAAAATGTTCTCTATTCTTTCGACTTTTCTTTCTTTGTAAAAAAAAAAAAGAGACCCTCTAACACTAATGTTCTCTATTCTTTTTCTATTCTATCTACTGGTTTTCTTTTTATTTATTATATATATATATATATATATATATATATAAAACGACCTTGCTATGTGTGCTGCGTTAGGCTAACTGAGACTCATCACGGCACTTACATATCATTGCTCTTTAGTTGGTTTTGATTGCGTCCATTGTCCTCATCTATAAGTCGCTTTGGATAAAAGCGTCTGCTAAATGCCTAAATGTAAATGTAAAACGGGAATGTTCCATTGTATCATTTTGCATTTCATTGGGAATGTTACTTTCGAATGTTCTCTGAAGGTTCCGAAACAAGTGGATACATTTAAAAAATGTTACACAAACGTCAAACTGAATTGTTTAAAAAAAAAAACATTCCGTAACTGATGTGTAACGTTTGAGAATATTATTAACGCAACTGTAAGAACATCTGCTCATAACTTTTTGAGAACGTTTCCTGTTAGCTGGGTTTGAAGCACCATGTGACACTTCAAAGACCAGTATGGCATTTCTATAATATCATGCCGAAAGGGTGTAAATCATTCAGTATGTTGAGTCGGTTTGTAAGTGTTATGAGAGATCCGTGACTCCCTCACCCGCTGCGAGAACACGACGTAGTATCCCGTCCCTTTGGCCCTGCAGGTGAGTTTGCACATGTCTTTGGGAAGCACGCCGGCAAACTTCGGCACCCATTCAACGAAGGTCTTCACTCCTTTAGGGTCCGTCTGAGGGCCGTTACGCAGCTCACACTGCTCCTGACGGAAACTCTTCCCTAACGCACACATATGAGAGCAAATATATTCAATGCACAAACTTGCTGCTGTTCTTAATACAGTATTAACATATTTGTGTAGTTGACACAAAATGTTTTAAAAATCCTCTTAAGCTGGTTTCAGGAGGGAATTCTTTATAATTATTATAGATGATATTTTCATGAGCTCACGATAATTGAAAGAGTAAATGGAATACACTTTATTATATTATATTTATTTATATATATTTTTAATTTTAATTATTATTAACTGCAACAACAATAACAAAGACAATAATATTAAATAAATTATTATTATTAATGTTATTATTATTAATTTTTTCGCTATCATTACTATTATTATTTTTATATGTTTTTCTGAATTAAAGTGCCATGACTGTCATTAATATTGAGTTTGAGTAAGTTACTTTAGTATTATTTATATATAATTAGTATGGTATTTGTTAATAGTTTGAATTAGCTTTTATTTTTATATTTTTCATTTTAGGTTTTGTTTAAGTTTTAGTAATTTTGTTGTGTGCTTTTCTCATTTTTATTAGTTTTAGTCTTTTAAATATTCATATTTAGCTTTAATTTATTTTTATTCCAGTTTTAGTTTTAGTAATTTTAGTACTTAAGTAACATTTCAGTTTGTTGCATTTTGTTTACTTAATTTTTGTTTAAGTTTTCGTTTAATATTAATATTTTATTTTAGCTTTATTTCAATTAACTAATCAATTAAAATTAAATTTAGTTTTAGCAACAACATTGGTTTTGAATTAAAAACTGTATGTTATAAAAAAGTAATGTCAGAACAATTTAAAAAGTATTAGTGAACTCAAAAAGGTGAATAAAATGCCGAACAAACACAATGACCCTCTAAAATACACATTTGTGACCCTGGAGCACAAAACCAGCCATAAGGGTAAATTTTTTGAAATTCATAAATACAGAAATAAATGGTTTGTTAGGATATGACAATATTTGTTCGAGATACAACTATTTGAAAATCTGGAATCTGAGGGTGCAAAAAAATCTAAATATTGAGAAAATCATCTTTAAAGTTGTCCAAATGAAGTTCTTAGCAATGCATATTACTAATCAAAAATTAAGTTTTGATATATTTATGGTAGGAAATTTACAAAATATCTTCATGGAACATGATCTTTACTTAATATCCTAATGATTTTTGGCATAAAAGAAAAATGTATAATTGTGACCCATACAATGTATTGTTGGCTATTGCTACAAATATACCCCAGCGACTTAACACTGCTTTTGTGCTCCAGAGACACATATTATCCTGGAATCTCAATGTAATGTGTTAGCTACCTACTTAATATTTCTCTTGACGGTATCATATTAGATAAAGCTTTTCACTGAATTTATTGCAATGCATTCTGGGATTGTGGTATCTATCAGGAATGTACGTGATGCAGAATTTGTGTGTTTTCTTCTGTGAGCATGCATTATTTGTGCATGTGTGTGTGTTTGGAGACGCTCACCGGCTGAAGGGCACGGCGTGATGCTGCAGGAGCGGTAGACGGCTCTCTTCCCGGTGCAGTAGCGGCCGTTGTTTCGGGGAGGAGGGTTGTTACAGAGACGATGTGCAAACTGGACACCACCGCCACACGTCTGAGAACACGAACCCCACGGACCCCAGGAGCTCCAGCTGCCGTGATTCGACATCTGACAGGAGATAATCATTAAGCATCGATTAGTGACGAGCAGAAAACACACTGACAGTTTCTGTTGATTGCATATGAGGCACAATCACAATGTAAAAGCATCTAACTAAAGATGCACAGAATCTTTCAACATGAATGGGTCGAGTCGTGGAAAGAAGCGAGTGTTTTATGTGAAGGCGTGTGTCCATCCATTCACCGGCCCGCAATAAACAAGCTCCGAGCCAAAAATAAGCGCGAGACCTGAATGCTGGACATTCAGCGAGAGGAAGGGTGTGTGTGTGTGTGTGTGTGTGTGTGTGAGTGAGTGTGTGTGTGTGT